CCCTGTTTCCCCACTGTAAAGAGAGGGGGAAAGAAAATACACACATAGAGGGGAAAAGATAATGAGGTGGCAACAAATAGAAAAGGGGACCATAGTTACATCAGTGATTATACTGTACTGATAAATGTATTGGATAACTGAATATCTAAATTTTTAATAAGACCAAAGATCACCAAGAACTGGAAGAAATATCACAAGTAGATATAATCATGAAAATGTAGTGATCAGAAAGCATAGATGCTATGTAAGATAAATAATTACATTGGCAAATCTTAGTAAAAAACATGCATTTTCTTGTCTATTTCTCTACTTATTGATGTGCCATTTTCAACTCTTTAAACCCTTTCCTCTTATAATGTAAACCAGAAGCCCGGTGCATGAAATTTGTACATGGGTAGGGTGCCTAGGCCTGGCTGGAGATAAGGGCCGATCAGGTTCCCTGCCTCACCATCTCCCTGACTCTTCCTCCTTTCGCTCCCTCAACCCCCCACTGCCACAGCTGGTTCCCACCATGTTCCATACCACCCTCTGGTGGTCAGCACACATCATAGCAAGCAATCAAACTCCCAGTCCCCCAAACTCCCGAGGGAGAACAATTTGCATATTAGCCTTTTATTAAATAGGACTAGAGGCCTGGTGCACAAAAATTTGTGCACTCGGGGAAGAGGGGGTCCCTCAGCCCGGCCTGTGCCCTCTTGCAGTCTGGGACCCCTCGGGAGATAATGACCTGCTGGCTTAGGCCTGCTCCCAGGTGGCAGAAGGCAGGCCCAATCCTTAGGTGCAGCCCCTGGTCAGGCTCAGAGCAGGGCTGATTGGGGAGTTGGGGCGCCGCCCCCTGTTATGCACAGAGAAGGGCGATCGGGAGGTTGTGATGCCACCTTTAGTCACGCTCAGGGTAGGGCTGATTGGGGGGTTGGGGCACCGTCCCGTCACACTCAAGGCAGGGTTGATGGGGAGGTTGCGGCACCACCCCCTGTCACTCACAGAGCAGGGCCAATCAGGGGGTTGGGGCGCTGCCCCCTGTTACTCACAGAGCAGGGCCCATCAGGGCGGTTGGGGCTCTGTACCCTGTTATGCACAGAGCAGGGCCAATCAGGGGGTTGGGGTGCTGCCCCCTGTCATGCACAAAGCAGGGCCCATCAGGGGGTTGGGGCACCGCACCCTGTCACACACAGAGCCGCAGGGCGATCAGGGGGTTGGGGAGCTCCCCCCTATCAGGCACAGAGCAGGGCTGATCAGGGGGTTGGGGCGCCTTCCCGTCACGAACAGAGCAGGGTGGATAGGGAGGTTGTGGCCCCGCCCCCTGTCACACACAGAGCAGGGCCGACCCCGCCCCCTGTCACACACAGAGCAGGGCCGATCAGGGGGTTGGGGCGCTGCCCCCTGTCACGCTGATCCCGGTGGGAGGCCTCACGGATCCACTGATCCCGGTGCTGGGAGGCATATTACCCTTTTACTATATAGGAGAGAGGCCTGGTGCACAGGTGGGGGCCAGCTGGTTTGCCCTGAAGGGTGTCCTGGATCAGGGTGGAGGTCCCCACTGGGGTGCCTGGCCAGCCTGGGTGAGGGGATGATGGCTGTTTGCAGCTGGTCACACATCTTTCAGGGTGGGGGTCCCCACTGGGGTGTCTGGCCAGCCTGGGTGAGGGGATGATGGCTGTTTGCAGTTGGTCACACAGCCTTCAGGGTGGGGGTCCCCACTGGGGTGCCTGGCCAGTCTGGGTGAGGGGCTGAGGGATGTTTTTCAGGCTGGCGGGTGACTGAAGCTCCCAACTGCTCCTTTTTTTCTTTTTTTTTATTCTGGGCCAGCTTTAGCTCTGGCTCCAGCTCTGAGGCCTCCACTGCTGAAAGTAGGTATCTGGTTTGTTTGGGTTCTATAATCGAAACACTGTATCAACTCCAGCTCTGAGATCCCGGAGGCTGAAAGCAGGTTTCTGGGGTTTTGTTTAGCTTCTATATTTGTAACAATGTGTCAAACTGCAAGCTCAGAGGCCAGCAAGGCAGGCAGGGAACGTTGGAGTCCTCCGTCACTGAAGCAAGCAAGCCTCATGTTCACTTCAAGCTTCCTGGCTGCCGGCCGCCATCTTGGCTGGCAGTTAATTTGCATACCACCCTGATTGGCCAATGGGAAGGGTAGCGGACATATGGCTAATTACCATGCTTCTCTTTTATTAGATAGGATAATTTTTATTATATTTTGAAATAGTTTGGTGGGGTTAGTAAAGGAAGCAGAAATGCATTGTTAAATAGACCACATTCTGCAGCCAAATTTCCTGGGCTTTAATCTCAGCTTTGCTATTAACTATGCAACTATGGGCAAGTGATTACAACTCTTGACCTTAGTTTATGCATTTATACAGAGGAGATAGTAATAGTATATAAGTGATGGAGTTATTTTGAGGATTCCTCACAACACACACTTCCTGTTATATAGTATTCACTCTATAGTTATTTTCATATAATAATGAAGTATTTTCTGAAAAGAAAAATGTACAATTTAAAATTGTTTGTATACACTACATTTTTATAAAATTATATTGTTCACATAATACTAACTGAATCATGGAGGCAAATTTTCATTACTAGTATTTTTTAAAAACTCTTTGTACACTCATTTGAATTTTCAAATTCCTATGCTACAGAATTTTTAATTTGAAATACTAGGTTTAGAGAGAGAGAGATACTGCATACTGGAGTGTTAAAAATCCTTTCTGTATCTCTTATGGTAGTGTACTAGAGGTAAAATAATTTCCCCTTTACTCTTTTGAGTTCTGGATTGAGATCAATCTCTGTAATAAAAAACAGATTAACAAGAGAAAAAGCTCAGAAGTTTATTGACATGTATCCTCATGTATACATTGGAGATACCTAGGGAAAAATGAATAACTCTCAGAGGTGAATTAGAACTTCATCTTAAATACCATCTTCAGCTAAAGAGAAAAGAAAAAGTGTGGAGAAGGCTATAGGAAGGCTACTAGGAAAAGCAGAATAAATAAGTGCAAGATTTGTTATGTAGATTTAAGTCTCTACTTTCTCCATTTCTAATGTTGTCTTGCAGTATGAGGAGGGTCACTTTTATAAACTTATGTCCTGCTTTTAGGCAAATAGCGGGAGAGCAGAAAGTTTTTCTTATTTTTTTAAATTGCTTTCAGTAAAAAAAATCATCATATGAAAGTGGCATATTGGGGAGTAGCATATTCTGCTACCCTTTAATAGGAACTCTGGGTAGCTCTTTGTCTAAGAGATTAATTGCTAAGAACTATGAAGGATCTGTTATTTTATCCTACTTGCAAGCTACTAAGTAGCCTGCTACAGTTTCATAGAAGTTGACAGAAGGCATGAGATTCCTCTACAGGAGACAAAGGACTTGACTGCTCACAGCACAATAGGGAGCATGCACTTCAGACTCTCTTAGATTCCTCTGGCTCCCAAATTCTAGGAGGCAAATTGGAGCTGCTAGGCAGGTGCTGCACAAGCATTGGGTGTGTATTAGAATGGACAAATGTCACGCTTGGGAAAGTCCTGCTAACAAACTTACCCAAACTTTAACATGGAGGGAGAGATGATCTTTGCCATCTTACAACCATCTCTCTGCCCTTGAAGGAACTACTATCTTGGAGACTATAACTTGTAAAAATGCAAGAGGACCATGGAGATTTGACTCCCACCATAACACACATATAACGCATCCATAAGGCTACTGTGCTGAAGAGAAGATGCACAAAAGTTCTGACCAGAGATTTAGACTGACTTTGTAAATATAAAACCCTCGGTGCTTTCTAAGTCTTTGAATATACAGTTAACCAATTAGAGTAAAACGTTACAACAATTTGTTTTGCTTTGTCCTGCTTTATCACTTCATACTTTTATGAATCATGTGTTCTTTCCTCTTATCATATAAGTTTTACCACACCCCTCTACACTTATTTGTGCCAATAATTTAATCTTATTGGCTAAAGTATTTTTTTGTGTTAGAAGAACTAACACACTTTCCTAAGAGTGGCAATCTTCCTTTCTCTCTGCTGCTTCCTAATAAAATTAGGTTTCACAAGGTTCAACGTGTTCCTCCTCTGTAGGGTAGCTGAGCAATAGTTACTCAGCTTTGCAAGGTTTATTTCCTCTGTGAATAATTAACACTCCCCCTCACCCCACCCCCAAAAAGTATTTTTAAAATATTGTTTGTGGTTGTCTTATTCAGAAATTACTCAAAATTATGTCATCCTGGTCTTTTGCTTGTGTTTTTAAGCAAAAGCTACGGCTATCCTTGTACTGTGTGTGTCTTGTCCTTTTAAAGCTGGGGCTACAAAATTCATTTGAATTCCTGAGAAAAGCAGAACTTTCAACTACTATTACTTAATAAACCAAGGAATTGAGCATTTAAGTTTTTGCCTGACTGAAGACATTTAATCATGTAAATCATGTAATATTTGAGACATTTATAACAATTCCTTGTTTACTAGAAAACGAAATATAACTGGATTTCCTATGTTTTTATTTCCTAAACCTGGCAACTCTGGTTACTGTTTATCTACTAAACAAACTACAAATAACCTTTCGGTAAAATTTGACAAGTGGGTGTTAGCTCAGAAGCACTCCCCTTGGCGCAGGGGTAAAGGTTTCAAAGTTTTGATTGTGACATCAACGCTATTCAAAAATAAATGTAACTCTACACGGTTTTACATTCATAGATGTGCATCTGGAAGTCCGGCTCAAGAACGGTGGTGAAAACAAGTAATGACCGGTCTGGGGTTTTTGAAGAAACTTGGGGGGCAGCCTTTCCAAAGAGGGTGGATGTAACCGCGCCAGTGTGCTCCGTGGTTCAGTGAGGAGAGCGCGACACCTGAGCGAGCCAATAGGAGCCGAGCAGGAAAGAGCTGGGCGCCTGCAGCCAATCAGAGACAAGAGGGATGGGACTGAGACTCCGGAAAGGGGCGTGCCCCCAAGCGCGGGGCTCAGCCAATCGGAGCCGAGTGGGGCGGGGCTGGGTGCCGGCAGTGGGAGGTCTCGGGGAAGCAAAGGACGCTGCGAGTGAGCCTTTCAGCCGCACTTGCACTTGTACCTGCACCTACGCTTCTCACCGGCAGGGCGGACGCAGGCTCGAAGGGTGACGGGGAACGGGGTGGCACTTGATCCGCTCGTCATGGCCTATCCGGGATACGGAGGAGGGGTGAGTGCTGTCCTCTGCGCGCGGCCACCGCTCTGCGGGGTGTGGCGCCCCTGCTGGCGGTGCCGAGGGACCGGGCCACCTTCGGCGCCTGAATCTTCGCCGCCTCTTGCACTGCCTCTTGTGCCCGCAGTCCGAGTCCTGGTCCCCGAGGCGTGTCTTGTGTAGCCAAGAGTGTGATGTGGTTTTAGAAACATCTTTCCTGGAACGGCGCGGGGAAAAGCACCCTTTTCTTGTTCCAGTCATCTGCTGTGCCCCGCCCCCAATGTGTCACTCCGTTTTGCCCGACATCCTCTTTCTGGATTTTTTGACCACTTATTTTCTATCCTTAAGAATAAATGTCTCCTCATCTTTACTGTTCTGCTAAGGGCAGTCTGTACTTCTACACTTTTTGGGGAATGGGAGGATTACTCTTTTCTTACATAACTCTTTATTTTGCATCAGCTTTGAGAGTTGGAAATTATAAGTGCAGTATCCTGGTGGCTAGCTGGCTGGCTTTTTCTTCTCAGAAAGTTGCACAACCTTCAGTATTTATGTCAGTGATCTTCAGAGTGGGGGAGCACACTTTGTATTAAAATGTGCACGAGGGATAATCCATTGGGCTGTTGGTAGACAATAATATAATTCTAATATTAATTGCACTTGTTTTTAACCCAGAAAGAGAAATTGAGCTTTACTAATATTTAATATAGGTTTTAGCACTGTCAGATGGCAGTGTTGAAAACCTGGCCTCAGTTCCTCCTGGCCCCTTCTACTTTAAGATGCCTAAGGAAGGTAAGGCCTTCTTCAAACATTAGTCAAGGGAGCGTTTGAAAATTTTCACACTGATGTAAAATACAGGGAGTAAACTGAGGGATGAAGTAGAGACATTGGCTTCTCAACTTGTTTGTTCCTTTAGCTTAATGTGATATATTACAGTTTATGCATACATAGTTCTCTGGCGTTGCAGATTCTATAATCTAGTTTAACTAAAATAACCCTTCCAAACTGGACCCGTAGTTTGAAAATTTCTGGGAAGAAACTAGGAATCCAAGATAATATTAAGGATTCAAAAATGTGCAAAACAACGTGAAAATGACATTGCCATCAGCTTTTAAGTCCAAGCTGTTCTTCAGTCACGTTACCAGATAATAACTCTATGTAATAGTCAGTGTTGACTCATTTGACACTACCAAGAAGACAACTTGAAATATGAATTTTTTAAACTATTTTTATGGATTGGCCTTAATGACTAGGAGCTCCAGTTCTCCATGGGGGTCCTTCTACATGAGTCTTGGGCTTCCTTATGCTGGCTTTGTTCTAAGAGAGAAACAGAAAGTGCCTTTTGAAGTCTTTAGTCTGGAATGGACTTTGGTGCAATTTCTGCTGTATTCTATCAGTTACGGCTGAAACAGGCCCAGCTTAGATTCAAGGGGATGGAGAAAGTCCGCCTTGCATAGGGGAGATGGCAAAGAATTTTCAATCATCTGTACTCTGACCATGACCAGCTCTCATGTCTTTGGATTTGGGGGCAGTGAATGCTGCATGTCAGGAAGGAAAGAGAGGTAGAAGGTTATTCATAAGGTCAGATTCTTCATGTAATATAGCTTGCCTGACTTTAGTTTAAAAATATGGAACAAATGGAGATGCTATAGTAAAGGGTTCATAGTCATCTTTTGGCATCACCTCAACATTAGCTTTTCACTAATATGCTTAGATTTAGTTTGACCTCGTTTCTTATAAAACACTTTTAGTTTTTCTTCCTGATGTGAATCTTACAGTGGTGAGGGTCTCCAGTAAGCCCTAACTTCCTGGATATGCCCTAACACTTGTTTTCACTCCTTGTCCTTGGAGGTTATTTCTACGTGCCCAAAGAGCAAAAGCTTTACGAGTTTTGCTAAACTGTTCACCTCAGGGTTTAGACTTGTCCTCAGATATTGGCCTGGAAATTTCCTTCCATTGGTAAGATGATTTAAAAATAATATTTTTGCAACATTTGGATTATTTTCATTACTAAGCTTGATTAAATTATCCTAGCTTGCCATTATTAGACATAGGAAGATTTTTTTCTCCCTTGAGTCAATATTTATAATTTTAGAAGGGCCATCTCATCTACATTTTCCAAATATATTGGTAAAAAGGTATTCATAGCATTGTTAATATATATTTTAAAATTTAAATTCTATTTGTGGTTAAATACTCTCCTTTTTTAAAAAAATATTTTTATTGATTTCAGAGAGGAAGGGAGAGAGTGATAAAAACATCAATGATGAGAGAGTCATTGATCGGCTGCCTCCGGCACGCCCCCTGCTGGGGATCGAGCCCACAGCCCGGGTACATGCTCTGGAGGGGAATCGAACCTGGGGCCCGTCAGTCCCCAAGCCTATACTCTGTCCACTGAGCCGGCCCTACTAGGGCCCTTTTACTATTTGTCAGCCTGGTCTGTCCATCTCTTCTTTTCAAAGAAGCAACTTTTAAACAATCACATCTATTTTTTTTTTTTTTTTGCTAATATTGTCTTACTGTTTCCTTTCTTGTACTTCATTGCTTCAGAATCTATATATGTTTTGACCACCTCCTGAGGAAGTTTCCTGGAACTCTTAATACTTCCTCCATACTTTTGCTCTTACCACATCCCTGCCTAGGGCTTTTCAGAGTACCTCTAAAAGTCTCTATCTTTTATCTTCTTTGCCCTTTATCTTAATCTTTTTTGCCTCTGGCAATCTCTACTGACCCTTAAAGAATGCAAGTGAAGTTACAAACTAGCATTTGCAAAATAGTCATGGGAATGTGAAGTTCAGCATAGGGAATATAATCAATAATATTGTAATAATTATATATGGTGTCTGCAGGTAGTAGACTTATCTGGGAGATCACTTCGTAAGTTATATAAATATCTAAGCACTACGCTGTACACCTGAAACTAATATAATATTAAATGCCAACTGTAATTTTAAAAAAATTTCAAGACAACACTATATGAAAAAAAGAATGTAAGTGAAAAATATTTTCATTCAAGTACCATATGATTCTGGAATCTAATGAACAAAATGAACTAAAGCAAAATAGAGACAGACTCACAGACAGACACCAGGCTGACTGGCTGTGGCGAGGGAGCTAGGTGTGGAGGAGGGTGGAGGGATTGAGCAAAAAAGAAAGGGGAAAAAACTCTTGAACACAGACCACAATGTCAATGTGGTAATTCCCTCGGGTTAGAGGTGGGGGGATGGAGGAAGGTGGAGGAGGGTAAGGGGGGATAAATGGATGGAAGCTTTTCTTGGGACGGTAAATACAAAGTACAGAGTACAGATGATGTGTTGTAGAATTGTGCACCTGAAACCTGTATAATTTTGTTAACCAGTGTCACCCCAATAAGTTCAATAAAAAGGAAAAAACACACCCAAAATGGAATAATGAACTATCTTTATACTTCACACTAAAAGAAAACAAACAAAAACAACAACAACAACAAAAAACAACTGAGTAAAGTTATCTTTTTAAAGTTATTAATAATGTGTACCAAGTTCCAATTGAAAAGAAAAGAGGAACCACAGATATAGCAGGAAACAAACAGTAGGTAGCCTCTGGGTCATACTGTCTATTTTTGAATCATGATCTACTTCTTACTAGTTATCTGACCTTAACCAATTCAGGAAGCCTCCTGAAATTTCAGGTCCTCAATTGCAAAAAGGACATAGTACTTTTATACCTCATAGGGTTGTTGGAAAATCAAATAACATAATAGGTGGAAAGTACTTAGGACAGTAGTACCTGGGATATGAAAAGCTCTCAAAAAATATTAGCTCTGTATTATTATTGTTTGTATTCTTGTTGTTACTCTTAGTTTTGAAAAGGACCATGGTTAGAATTATAAATTTATTGATCTGTTCATTGATTTCTTCCTTAAAAAAATTTTTTTTGATGGAGCAGGTATTTCAGTCCTACGCTGTTTCCCTTGATTTATTCACAATTTCATTGTATTTTACCATGCATTCTTCTAAGTATGTGTCTTGAGTTATACTACTTGTTAGTTTTTCTGTAGATGAATTTTCTTACACATTTTATTTTTGTTTATTTTAGTGTTGATTATGGTAAACACTTTTTCAAATTATGTATGTTCATCTATTAGATTGAGTTCTTAGTGGCTAGAGATTTTTTTTTTTTTCTTTCACAGTTCTTTTAATTCTGGATAACATGTTACTGAATGGAATTAGATCCAATTATGGAACATCTAGCATTTTGAAGCTAACAGCTTTTGTGATAGTGAATTTGGAAGCTTTCAGTAACTCTGTTTCTGCACTGCAATGGACTGCTCATAAGTATTTCTTTTTAAACCAACGTTAGTGGATAATAGGTAGCATTTTGTGATAATAACTTCCTCCTTTTTCACTCTTCTAGTTTGGAAATTTTATTGGTCAGATGCCAGGAATGCAGATGCAGATGGGACAGCCAGTGCCAGGAACAGGACCACAGGTGCTCCCTGGTGGATACCCCAGACACCCAGCTTACTTGAACAATTACTCCTCAGCCGAAGACCCCATGTGGACATACTTTACTGCTGTTGCTGGACAGGTGCGATGCTAAATACATTGGACAAATATCAGTTAAAAATGATTGCTGTTTAAAGACATGCCACTTTTTTTATTTAGTGTATCATTTAAAATGTATATCAAATTTGTACTTTAAACCTTTCTAGACTAATTTTCTTCCTGAGGTCAGAGATGAGGTTAGTCATTTTATTTTAAAAAGTCTGTTAGCATGATCCCTGACACATAGTTTATTTAACCAAAAGTGGAACCAGGGTGGTGTGTGGAGAATGAGCCAGAGAGGATTTGGAAAAAGATATCTACAAGAACAGATTGGTGACATCACTAAGTTGCTATAGAGTCAAGTTCTGTCTTGCTCTAGGCGTCTTGTATAAAACAATAAACCCTTAGTTGTTTAAGCCCCTTTAATAGCATTTTTTATTGTTTGCAGCTAAATGAAATCTTGTTACATGATACCTTCTTATCAGGAACTGGACATATATATTTAGAGACTTTTATTTGACTTCTGATCTATTACAGTATAACAGTTTTCAACAATGATTTTCTGTGTTTGTACTGTTTGATACTTGCCTCAATTTTTGCATAGCCTTGTGCTTTTGTGTAGTTAAACTCCATGAAGAGACGGCTCTTGCAATATTGTCCCCTACCAGGTTGACACTAGGAATATATTAGTCATTCACTACATGGGTTGAGTGGGTACATAAGCTATTTCATTTCTAATTTTTTAGTTCAAATATTTAGACAATTCTTTTATATGTTGAATTTTGCCTAGCTTTAGGATCAGGTGTAATATCAGACTTACATAATATGCTTCTACAACCCAGTTACTGAACTCACCACTATAGCTGTATTCTTTTTTAATAGGCCATATAATGGCCTATATCATGCTCTACAAGAAATGCCCAGTTAAAGCTTTCTGCAGTGTTCCTTTTATAGGATGATGTTTTCTGAACAGTGATGATTTAATCGTCAGTTGATTTGAGGAAATTCTGGTTCGTACCTTCATAAACACACAAACATACACACATGCACACACACACACATCATGAATTTCAGTAATAGCAACACCTTTAACTTTAGAGTGCACACTGCTTCCACTTCTGAAGTGGATGCAGAAGAACTTCAGAAATGTTTGACACAGTCTGGAATTAGTGGAACTTACTCTTGTGAGATCTTTTTTACTCCACTGGGCCCCTGCACACATTCCTTATTACCTTTACTCTGCTGTATTTTCCCCTTATCACTTACTATCATCAAAGTAATTTCTTCTTTATTGTCTCTTTCCCACCACTAACATGTAAACTGTATGAAGGTGAGGAATTTGTTTTGAACAGTGTTAGATAACTAGTCCTATTAATGGTGCTTGTACATAGTAGGTTGCTTAATAAATATTTGTTAAATTAATTTCTTATTCTTTCTAAATGGAAGATATTTATTTGGTTGCTTCTCTTCATTTTCTTAACATACTTGATTTAATGATTGCTATAAAATTAATTTCATTTTGTATGGGATTGTTCTAAAATTGTTAATTTTTGTTGGTTGTCTTGTTGACCATTAGATTTTTTTATATACTTTCGACTTTTGGTTCATAAACTTGTTTTGCTTGGAGTTCTTGTGTATTTCCTCCCTTCTTTTGGTCCCCTTCCATGTTACCCCTTTCCTTCCCCATGTCGCCTTTCCTTGTGTAGTGGTTTTGTGATTGTCCCCACCTCGATTGCGTCCACAATTTAAAATATGGCTGATTTTTTTTAAAAGAACTATTTTCTAACTACAGAATTTAATTTTTTAAATGTATTTTTTATTGAAATTTTTTGGGTGACATTGGTTAATACAATTATATAGATTTCAGGTATACAGTTCTATAATATATTTAAAATTATGTAAACAAGATTACAAAAACCTGCATGACAGACAGATAGGCAACCACTTAGATGCTGTGTAGTACTAAATAGTACTACATGGTTGGTTCATTGAGAAGAAGTTTTCGTATAAGGAAATCTAAGCTAAAGATCAGAATATGAGTGTTTATAGTAATTCTTAGCCATAGTTTTTCAAAGTTGTTTTTTTTTTCCTTTGGTCCTACAAAGTACATTTTAAATTTGTCCCCTTGATCCTTTCTCAGAGCTATTGTTTGGTATTCAGACAATGTATTTGATGCCTCCAAGTAAATTATTCTCCTCTCTCTATATTTTTTTAAATAGTAAATAGGATGAGGTACTGAAACCTGAGACTCCTCAACCTGTTTCACTTCCATTGTGATTTCTTATTTGTATTAAAAACATATTTTCCATAAGTTCAAGCCAAGAATGTTTGGGCAATAATCAGAAGATTACTACCAAAATGTACGGAACTCTAAAATTTTGCTGGGGGTAATAGTTTTGGAGGGAAAATATATTTTCTTTTTTAATATTTATTAGAAATAATCTCCCCCCCAAAATAGGCATGAAAGGAAAGTTTTGAGATTTTTCTTAAAAATTCCATTGTAGGTATTTTTCCAACTAATTTAAGTAGAGGTCCAGTGTTTCCCCCAAGATATTATTTTGAGCTATTATTGTATAGAATGATTATGCCATTTCCCCGAAGTAGAAAAAATAAATTATATTTGAGATGCTTCAAAAATTAATAGATTATAATTCGATTGTGAAAAATTATTTATAGTTCATGATGTTCTATAATATGCCTTTGCTATAAAAGTCATCTATTATTTTGTAGTTGATAATAGAGTAATATTGTGAAGAATGCATATTTATTGATTGGTCTAGATCAGTGGTTCTCAACCTTCCTAATCCAGTTCCTCATGTTGTGGTGACCCCCAATTTCATTGTTACAAATTGAACATAATTAAAGCATAGTGATTAGTCACAAAAACAATATGTAATTATATATGTGTTTTCTGATGGTCTTAGGTGATCCCTGTGAAAGGGTCCTTCGACCCCCAAAGGGGTCGCGGCCCACAGGTTGAGAACCTCTGGTCTAGATGGACAGTTAGCACTTTAATGTGCATTTACACAACTGTACATTAAATCAAGTTATAATTATTTTAACAGGATGGTGAAGTGGATGCAGAAGAACTTCAGAAATGTTTGACACAGTCTGGAATTAGTGGAACTTATTCTCGTGAGATCTCCCCCCGCCCCCCCCCCCCCCCGTTGAAATTGGAATAGGAAATTCATATCCTAACATTTTGCACCCATACTTATACTACTTTACAGTTTTTTTTTTATCAGAGATATACATGCACATAGTTTAAAGAGTCAAATAATTCTTCAAAGTTTGTTATGAAAATAACTGTTCATTGTTCATTGCTCTCTCCCCAGTGTTAACCACTCACAGAGGAAATATCTTTCAACTTTCTCAGCTGATTGTTTTGAAATTTGCCTCCAGATCTCAAAACAGCACGCTTTTTAAATCACTATTGCTTTTCAGTTTTAATGATTATCAGTGGAGGTCTTTTGTGGAGCATGAGGATTTAACTCTCAACCTTAAACTCACCCTTGTCCCTGCCCTCCACACAGGAGCCCTACCCATCCCATCCATTCAGCACAGCGATGTAATAATTTATGTTAGGTTGACAATCAGTATTTGCCTTTTTGTTACTATCTAAATGCTCTTCTTATATCTTTCGATAGATATGATTAATATTCCATTTTACATAACTTTCCTTTCCTGAAATTAATCATCATCTTGGAGCTTCCTGTTGTGCTCTACTCTGTGCAGAGCCGTCACGCTGGCATTTCATCACCATTGTTCGGGAGCTATCTTTCTCTCTCTGGAGTTGGGTCTTCCCTTTATTTCATCTCTTGTCATCTTTTTTAATTCTATAAAGTATAACATTAGCTTCCTATTAAAAGAGTACATGGGAGGTAAATTTTTTTGAGGCTTCATCTGAAAATGCTTTCATTCTGTCCTCAGAATTAAATGAATGGCCATGTGTAGAATGCTGTTACAAGTAATTTTCACTTAGAATCTTAAAGGTACCATTGTTTCTAGCTTCCACTGTTGCCCTGTCTTTCTGTGTCCTGCCTATATGTCATATGTCTTTCCTCTCTTGAGGCCTGTGAAATGTTTGTTCCTACTCTGGTGGTTCACAGTCATGTGCCTAGTTGTGTTGTGTGGGGAACTCAGTAAGTACCCCCAGTCTGGGACTCATTTGCTTTAGTTCTGGGATATTTTCTTCAGTGATGTTTTCTCTATTTTCTCTTTCTAGGATGCCTGTTATTTGGGATGGATTACTTATTTTCTCCTACTTCTTCTTTTCCTCTGTTTTGGGAGGACATGTCCATATCTTTATTTTCTAAACCTTCTATTGAGTCTTGTTTACTGCCATGTTCTTAAAATCCAAGAGCATCTGTGTTTTTTCTTCATGAATGTGATATCTTCCATGATCTCTCTGAGATTTAAAGTTTTTTTCTTTCTATACAACCTTTGTTCCCAACAGATTGCTTCTTCCCCCGCACCCCCCATTTGTTTGTTTTTTATATTAGATGCTTTTCTCAGGTGTCTGGTGATCCTGGGATGCTCATTTTAACTAAAAGGCTGGTTAGAAGCTGTGAGATCATGGTTAGGTGCTGATTGTAGAGCCCTTTGTCTGATGGTTAGGCTGGGCAGTTTGGTGTGCAACACTGGGTGTTAGTATTCTTTAGGGTTTCCTTTTGGGCTGGCTGTCCAGCTGATCTTCTGTCTGGAAAGGAGGGGGAAAGAATCAGCAGGGCTCTCAGTCTTTTGTAAATTGTCATTTAATTGCCAGCTAGCTAACCCTGTTCTGGAATCCTGCAATCTAGAGACTTCTCCCGGGAATAAAACCCCAGACTTCTGCTGAGGTGGGAGCAGACATAGCCTTCCACTGAACTGAGGCCAGGAGGGGATTTAGAGCTCTGAATGCTCCTTAAGTAGACATTCAGTCACTCCTGTTTTTATCTTATCTTTACCCATTTACAGAAGTATTGCCAATTCTTAAACTTTTGGGGTCTTTTCCAGGATAAGTAGGCTGCTTCTCAGCTGTTCTTATTGCAAGTTCAGGAAAACACTTTTTCATCACTTAGGTTAGTTAACTCAAATCCATCTACTTTTCCAACTTGCAAAATTTGGTTCCTTTGTTTCTTCTCCCATTCTCTTTTTCTCTAAAGGTTTATGACTTAAAAAAAAAAATCCATTTACTCTCTATTCTAATGGAATGTGGTGAGAGAGAGGAACTCTTATCAATTTTCCTGAAAATTCTCTTCATTCTTTGTCAAAATATTTAATCTGATTAAATGTTTATGTTTATGTGAAATCACAAAACACACACTATCAGGCTCATAGTAAATGCGCACTGAGTATCTGCTGAAATTGTCAGCCTGAAAATACTGTAACCACCTATTCTAACATTAATTAAACATTCAAAGAAAATCAGCTACTAAAGCTTGTGGGATGTTTTACAATTTTTTTTTCTTAATGGATCTAAAATTTAACTGAAATCATTTGTTTCTTTATAGAATTTCAAAAATATCAAATAGCATAAAATAAGTCAACTTAATTTTAAGTATTTTTATTTATTTATTTTTATTTTAATGAGCTATTAGCTATGAGAATTTTGTAAGCTTAACTGTGCTGATATAATGTTTTATTTATCAGGGCTATGATATAGTCTTGAATAAATCACATACTAATTGAATGCAATTACAGTAAGGATTTGAGAAATTAAATTCTATTTACTGAGACCTCAGTTATGGTTCCATAATTACAAAAGTGTTAATATTTCTAATAAACCCTAATTTTAAGATAGTGTTTATTTATTCCTTCTTTCTTTTCTTGCCCCCCTTCCTCATCCCCAAGGGGGGGAAAACATTTGCTTCAGTTTAGAAACTTATCTTTTCTTACTTAATCAAATTACAGTAAAACTATCAAATGATTTACCTACATCCATTTTCATCTCACTTTATAGTCTATTCAGGGTAAACTAATGTTTCTGAAATGAAGATTTTAGAGTTGTCCCTCTGCTTAAAATCCTTCAGTGACTTCCATTGGTCTAAATCTTTAGGTTGGCATTTACGACTTTCATGATCTAGCCCTCATCTGTCTTTCTGATGTCATCATATGCAACTCCCTCACATATACCCCAGGCTTTAACCAAATTGCTAACTCCTTTAAGTTTTGTGATTTTAGTATATGTCAAATGCCTACTTAAACTCCGCTTGTCATTTGTATTAGGAAGACTAAAACGCTCCTCTATGTGATAGCAATTTTCAGTTACTTTATGATTGCTTATTTTTTTTTTTAAATTAAATCTTTATTGTTCAGATTATTACATTTGTTCCTCTTTTTTCCCCCCCATAACTCCCCTCCTCCCAGTTCCCGCCCCATCCTCCGCCCTCACTCCCCACCCACTGTCCTCATCCATAGGTGCACGATTTTTGTCCAGTCTCTTTCCGCATCTCCCACACCCCTTTCCCCCCCAAGAATAGTCAGTCCATTTCCTTTCTATGTCCCTGATTCTATTATAATCACCAGTTCATTCTGTTCATCAGATTATTTATTCACTTAATTCTTAGATTCACTTGTTGATAGGTGCATATTTGTTGTTCATAATTTGTATCTTTACCTTTTTCTTCCTCTTCCTCTTCTTAAAGGATACCTTTCAGCATTTCATATAATCCTGGTTTGGTGGTGATAAACTCCTTTAGCTTTTCCTTATCTGTGAAGCTCTTTATCTGACCTTCAATTCTGAATGATAGCTTTGCTGGATAAAGTAATCTTGGTTGTAGGTTCTTGGTATTCATCACTTTGACTATTTCTTGCCACTCCCTTCTGGCCTGCAAAGTTTCTGTTGAGAAATCAGCTGACAGTCGTATGGGTATTCCCTTGTAGGTAACTGAGTTTCTTTCTCTTGCTGTTTTTAAGAGTCTCTCTTTATCTTTTGCTCTTGGCATTTTAATTATGATGTGTCTTGGTGTGGTCCTCTTTGGATTCCTTTTGTTTGGGAAAAAAAAAAGTTCCGCGCTTCTTGGACCTGTAAGTCCATTTCTTTCACCAGGTGGGGGAAGTTTTCTGTCATTATTTCTTCAAATAGGTTTTCAATATCTTCTGGCACCCCTATAATTCTGATGTTGGTACGCTTGAAGCTGTCCCAGAGGCTCCTTACACTATCCTCGCATTTTTGGATTCTTTTTTCATTTTGCTTTTCCGGTTGGGTGTTTTTTGCTTCCTCGCATTTCAAATCATTGACTTGATTCTTGCGCTCCTCTGGTCTGCTGTCGGGAGTCTGTATAATATTCTTTATTTCAGTCAGTGTATGCTTAATTTCTAGTTGGTTCCCCAATATAACATCGAGGGTCTCATTAGTTTTCTTGTAGATCTCATTAAGTTTATCGGCGGCTCCTAAACAGTTCTCGAGAGACCTTAAAAGTGTGGTTCTGAACTCTATATCTTCCATTGACAATTTTGTCCTGTTTCTTTGTCTCCGCATTTTGTTATGCTTCCTTGGTGCACCCCCTCGTGGTCTTTGTTCGAAGTCTTCTAGTTAAACCTTGTTGTAGCTAATACCAGGGAGGGTTTGACCTCCAGGCCAAGTGGCTATGAGAGTCAGCTGTGTCAGCAGTGAGAGAACTTCTGTCCTCTAGGGAGGTGCTAATCTAGCCTTTGCCTGAGGCTATCCGGCAAATGCCTCAGTGCAGGGCTTGGGCGGGGCGGGTCGCACAGGATCAACAGGGTGGGCCGGAGAGAGCAGTTATGGCGGCTCTCAGTCCTGTCCCCAGGGGCTCTGCCTCTCTGAGTCCCAGCACCCGCTGCAAACCTCGGAGAGAAAGCTGCACTCGCTCTGACCGAAGCCAGACAGTCCCGCTTCTCCCATTTGAGTCTGGGTCCCTAAAGACTCGCCCGGATCTGGAGCTCAGAGTCTGAGACTCCCTCCCGATTGAAAACGCCAACCGCGCCCTCTGCCGCCAGCCCGCTCCGCGAACTCTGCACCTCAGAATTTGACTTCAGCACTGCGCCTCCTCTGAGTGTCCGTATGCGTTTCTCTTTCCTCCTAGTTGTAGGACTTCCACTCAGCCAGCGTTCCTGTGGTTCTGGGTGATGTCCCTTCCGTCTTTTAGTTTCACTTTTGAAGTAGTTGTTCAAGGCAGCAAACTCTGGCGTTAACCTGTGTCGCCATCTTGGTTCTCCTATGATTGCTTATTTAATTATCTAAATCCCCTTATTAGATATGATTAGATTGAAGGTAGCAATTTTTTTTTTTTTTTTATGGATGGCTAATGTGTTAAATTTGCTGATTAGGGTGATTGTATATTTTTGGCAATTTTGAATGTTTTAAGTTAGCAATAGAAATTGTCATAGTCTTACATAGATAAAATTGTTCAAAATCTAATTGAAATAATAAATATGTTTTACAGCCTTCAGTTTGGAAACCTGCAGAATTATGATTGCCATGTTGGATGTATCCTTGAATAAAAATAGCAAATACTATTGAATAGTTTCTTTTTCATACAAGGCAGTTGTGGATTATAGATTACCACAGTAAGCCAGAGTTTAAAAATGCTTTGTAAGATCTTGTTTGAATTCCATACTTTTCCAGTTTTACATATAAATCTATTCATATGCCAAATTTAGCTAACTCTTACAGAAGCATCCTATCGTGTGTGTGTGTGTGTGTGTGTGTGTGTGTGTGTGTGAATGATTTGGAGTTTTGGGTTAAGTAAATTCTCTTTGTTATCAATTTCATTTTTGTTAATAAAACTGTCAGAGAGATTACACAGGAAAAATGGGATTTAATGAATTCAAAGAACTTTGGACAGCTCTTAATGCCTGGAAACAAAATTTCATAACTATTGATCAAGACCGAAGTGGCACAGTGGAGCATCATGAGTTGAATCAAGCCATTGCTGCTATGGGTAAGAATATTAAAATTCTTTAGCATCCATCCAGGTCGTCTTTGTCCTTTGATCAGATGAATCTTAATTGTTTTAATTTTTTTAAGTAATAAAGGGATATATTATTTCACCTAGATTGATTTCAAGGTTGTAGGTAAATTCTAACTAAGGACCTTTAACAACACCAACAAAAACCATTTTATCCATTATTTTTTCAAAAGATGAACTTTCATACATTCTGGATGATAAATAACTTCTGAATTTTCTCTGCTGAGCATATTTAAATTTATTCCTCTAATTATTAGTTCTCACTTATTATTTATAGTATTCTTTTGTATCTTGGTAAGACCTCCAATTTGATAATCTAGTTTTTTGGCAGTAAACACCATGGTTTTTGTTTTTGTTTTTTTCTTAAGTAGTAGAGAATACACAGTAGATGCCAAAATACTTCCAAATTAGAAGTATGCGTTTTAGAATATTTTTAAATAATTTAATGTTATTTTTTGTCAGTCTCTGATAAGCTAAGGTTCTAAGTCTACTTTCTTTCAAAAAGTGATTATATACAATGGTGTGTAACTTGCTTACAGTTAATGACAGTTTTCAGTAAATTTAAGTGTGTTTCTCTTTATGATTTTATTTATACTCATTTCTAAACAAAATACATCTATAAGAAAATTAACTTCTTGAAAGTTAAAATCTGAAACCGATATAAATTATCTCAAATTCTAATTTAAAAAAGTAAAAAGTAGTGATTTTCTTTGTTTTATAAATGGACATTTTAATTTAATAAATGGTGATTTTAGGGACAATCCTGGCTATATAAACATGTACTATAGTTTATAGAGCCTTAATAATTAATGGATTAAACTTATTCCTTAATTCAGCATAATGTTGGAAAATTAATATAACCTTTTGCAAAAAAGAAAATAGCCAAACAATTCACATAGGCATCCTATATAATAAAAGCCTAATATGCTAAGTGTCTGGTCATCCGGTCGTCTGTTCAACCAATCAACGTGTAATATGCTAATGATATGCTAAGGCCGCTCAACCGCTCGCTATGCTGTGCACTGACCACCAGGGGGCAGATGCTCCGACTGGTAGGTTAGCTTACTTCTGAGATACAGCTGATCGGGACTGAGCAAGATGGGCCAGACACACCCTGGAGCCTTTCCATGGTCCCTCTCCAGCTGGCCAACTTCCTATGTCCCTCCCTGGCCCTGATTGTGCACCGGTGGGGTCCCTCGCCCTGGCATCTACCCTTTCGCAATCCGGGACCCCTTGGGGGAAGTCGGAGAGCTGGTTTTGGTCCGATCCCACAGGCCAGGCCGAGGGATCCCACTGGTACACTAATTCATTCACCAGGCCTCTACTATATAGATAAACTTGCTTAATTAGACCTGCTTTCTGATTTAGCTAAACTTTTTCCAGCCCAGTGAAGCACCCCAACTTCTCTTTCAAGTAATTGTCAGCAATATGCAGTAAATATCAACATGAAGCAGATTATTATTATAGATCCCGCAGGGAGAACAGAGGGTAAAATATTTAGCTGCAGCAGTGTTTGGCTATATTCTGCGCAGTGAGAAAACATGAAGTTATTTTCAGGGTCCACTATTTCTTACTTCTTTTCAGTTGAGTCAAGTTTCTGAGCTTTCTAAATCTCCATTTTCCGGGTAATGAAAAGAAAATAAGATTCCACCAAGTCTCCTATCTGCCTTCTTTAGGACTTCTGTGAGGATCAAATGAGATGAGGCACGGGAAAATGCTTCCCAGACAATTGGTTAAAGTGTAAAATATTTCCACCTGGCTATAAAGCAAGTTGTGTTCCTGGACTGAAGAAACCCCAAGGAGGCTAGTTGCTAGGGGAGAGGAAATTGGGCATTGCTATGTGATGTCATTACCTGGCACCCACAGCCACCGTTTCTGGGTTGGGCTGTGGGCTGTATTTTGCGCCATGGGGAAATCGCAGCGTAGGCTGCGATTTGGTGGGGTGTTGCTCTGGGGTGGTGGTGGGGCCTGTGTCCCACTTCAGGGAAGCCGAGTGTTGCTTTGTGGATGCCAGGTCCGCGGTGCCATTTCTTTGTAAATAGCCAGTGTGCATCACAGCAGCTCCTGCATTGAGCGTCTGCCCTCTGGTGGTCAGTGCGTGTCATAGCAACTGGCCAGACTGTCAGACACTTAGCATATTAGCCTTTTATATATATATAGAATATATGTTTTAATACTCACCCAAAGATTTTTCTTTCTCCATTAATTTTTAGAGTAGAAGTTGATGGGGAAAGACAGAGAGAAACATCATTCTGAGAGAGACACATCAATTGGTTGCCTCCTGCATGCACCTTAACCAGGGCCAGGGATAGCGCCTCCAACCGAGATATGTGCCCTTGACTGGAATCAAATTCGGGACCCTTCAGTCCACAGGCCGAGGCTCTATCCACTGAAAAAAACTGGTTAGGGTTCAAAATATATTTTTTAAATCACAAATAATATATTTTTTAGCTTCGACTTTATTAGAAAGCTAGATTTGTGATATTCATGTACCACTATTAATAATTAACAGTTACTTTGATCAATTTCAGTATGAATGTGTTTTGTTTCTAACATTGTGCTTTGTTCTTAACACGTTTTTTCGGATGCATTTTGAAAGTTAATTTATGTATGACTATTAACAAGAATGCAGTGTTTGTTGTGGTGTTATGTGCTTAGTATTAGAAGGTATAATTTATCAATCTCTTTTTTTTTTAGGTTATAGGTTGAGTCCTCAAACCTTAAGTGCTATTGTTAAACGTTATAGCAAGCATGGCAGGATCTTCTTTGATGATTATGTGGCTTGCTGTGTGAAGCTTCGGGCTTTGACAGGTATGGACCATTTACTAGTAAAAGTGGGTACAGCTATTTTTCTTAAGTAATGTTTGTTGCTTTCTCTAGCAAGTTTATATTATGTTTTCCCCTTTATTCACTATTAAATTTATCAGAGTGGTAGGCTTTAAAATTTTTGAAATATACGTAGTGAAAAATTGTTATAGCTCAGTTTTGGAGGTTTTTTCTTGTCTGAGATGCATAATCACTTAAGATTTAATTGAGTATGAAATTATTAATATTTCAGTACCTGGGGACACCAAGTATTTGAAACTATAGATTTTTCAGTTAGAATAAAAAAGTAATTTGTTTGTTTAAAGATTTCTTTAGGAGAAGAGACCACTTGCAGCAAGGGGTTGTGAATTTCATATATGATGATGTGAGTATCTTGTGTAAACTTTTGATACTTATACTGTGTTCTAGAAGTGTTCATGGTTACCAAAAACTATTAAGTGATCCCTGGCACCAACACTGGGAATAATATATTTTGTAGGCCATGTCCCTTTTCTATAAGATTAAATATTGGTACAAATACCAACTTGACTTTATAGTAAACATACAAAATATTTTAAAATTTTATTACAGGTTTCTGGCAGTTTTTCTTCCAAATCATTTTAAAGGGTAAAACTACCATTATTTTTATGAAGAGTAGTTTACTTGTGGTGATCTTTCTTAGTTCTAATAGAGATAGGAAATTTTCACATATAATAGATTATAAAGCTATTCATTTCTCATTTCAGATAATTGTTATTAACCTGAATCCAGCTTTTTTAAAAAATTGATTATATAAGCAAGTTATATTTCATATGTGTTCCGAAGTTTTAGTTTTTTCTTGTTTTTGTTTTTTTGTTTTTATGTGAAAGTTATAGGGTTGACATTACCCTACTAGCATATACTGGTTGAATTATAAATCTTGGAAAATCAAAGTTTCTCATCTTGCGAAAATACTTTTATGAAATATAATTAATAAAAACAAACACGATTTTATTGTTACCAGCTGATGATTTTGCTTATTTATTAGTTTTTGCAGGGCACGATGGCAATTTGAATATCTAGAATTTGAAAACTAAAGAAATACTGTGAATGTTTCTGCTTGGAAGAAATGAACTGGACTACTTTAAATTTAAGCTTTTGGGGCTTTTCATGTTTCTACCTATTAAATCTATTCCCTTTATAATATACATATATATATATTGTACATCTAGTAAAATGTGTTTTTATTTTAATGCACAATTCAAAGCAATAAAAGAGATGCTTTTGTATTTGGGATGTTTTTGCTTTTAAAGAAGTTTTCTCTTGATGGATATCTGTATAATGTCATCAAATATTGGTATGTGATTAATTGATGTATATATGTCTTTGCCTTAATTTGAACAATATAAACTTGGAGGAATGTACTTATGAGATTATGTAAGAACCTAAATGATGAAAGCCTAGCTAACACTGACTTAAACTTATCTGAAGGTTACAGATTTTGCTTTCAGGTTTTGTTTGTAGTTGTTGGTGTTTGAAGGTAAGCTAGAGGGGCAGTCCTGGATTTTGTGCCATATTCGTCATAGGGTTTGTTCTTATTCACATTATCAGAGAACAAACTCCCAGATCTTTAACTGTGAAGAATAAAATTGTAGTTCCTAAAATTTTGTCTTAAATCACCTTAGGTGGAGCATAAAGTAACGTATAGTGAAATAAGACTACAGGAGACATCATTTTTCTTTTTTTTATTCAATATATTGTATATATTTCTTCAACATGTCTTGTTGTTTTCTATGGGAAAAAAGTTCATAATAAACAACTTTTCTCTCTGAACTTTATTTTGTTACTAAAAACATAGATAACCTCAAATGACATCTTTTGCTACATCTAGATTTTTCTGGAAATGACATTTTTAATGAAATGTCAACATTTAAACTTATTCTACTAAACTAAATTATTGTTTATACATAATGCCAATTGTGCATAAAGTTAAAAAATCAGATAATTTTCCACTTTGTTTAAATGTTGAGAAATTATAAATTTGACTTTCTTGACGACGTTAACTGCTGGTTTGGCATTAGTAAGCCAATATGTCTTTTGAGCGCATCTGTGTACTGTGGGGTACGGAGCCTGGTAGACACCGCAGCAGTATTGCTGTGTGGTATTACTATGGAAATTGCCAAGTTGGGCCACTAGGATTTTAGCATGTAAAAACCCCTGGAATAAGCTGCTATAATGAAGCAAGCCCCTTTTTTGGCCACACCTTCAGTCTTTCTCAATGAAGATTTAATAAACATACTTTATCCGAATCTCTTCCTCAGCTTAAAGGTAAATAACAGTAGTCCCCCCTGATCCAGAGTGATACATCCTAAGATCCCCAGAGAATGCCTGAAACCACAGATAGCACCTAAATATACTGTTTTTTTCTATACACACACAGTTGTGTTAAAGTTTCATTTATAAATTAAGCACAGTAAAAGGTTAACCAGATTAAATATAAAATAGATCATTATAACAATATACTGTATTAAAAGTTATGTGAGTGTGGACTCTGTCTCTCTTAAAATAACTTACTGTACTCCACATCCCAGAAGGGATGACCTGGGACGACTCGAGCTTTCTGCACACTACTCAGAACAGACGCAATTTAAAACTTATGAATTGTTTATTTCTGGAACTTTCTACTTTATGTTTTCGGTATCTGACCTCAGGTACTGAAACCAGGATACGGGGGCAGTACTGTACAAATTGATATAATTTTAGTATGGTGAGTGACCAAGTAAATATATAGTTTTTATAAAACTTTCTTTTTTTAAAGACTATATCTTTATTGATGTCAGAGAGGAAGGGAAAGGGAGAGAGAGATAGACACATCAATGATGAGAGAGAATCATCAATTGGCTGCCTTCTGCACGCCACCACTGGCGCCAAGCCCATCACCCAGGCATGTGCTCTGACTGGAAATTGAACAGTGACCTCCTGGTTCATAGGTTGATGTGCAATCACTGAGCCACACCAGCCAGGGCAAAACTATGTTTCTTAAAAAATGGAGGATTAACAGTAGTATCTTGAAAAAAAAAAAGTTGAAAGGATGCAATTATAGTCATTTAATTATGTAAATAATAATTTTACATAATTAGCTACCAAATTCATTTGGTCAGTTTTATAAAAATATGTGTATAAATAACCCGTTTAATTTTATCCTCTGGCTGTTAATTTTTTTTTCTTGAACATACATTTGATAATGTGAGAGGGCATTAACTGAGCCATAGAAAATATAGAATTTTAATAAAATAAATTGAAGTTAATATTGAAAAAAATACAGAATTTTAAATAAAAGTATTGTAGTAAGAGCTAATGTAAACACACTATATATCATTCCCATACAATAAAGATGTTAATATGACTCAGCAGTCTAGAAACTTAATATCCCACTTACAGGTGGTCAAGTTACAATGCTCTTCTAAGGTCAATTATAATTTTTCTTACTTGGAGTCTCCTAGTTGAGGTAAAACTTTAAAAAATGACATGTGATGTTCCTATAAGTTTCTGCCAAATGACATTTTGTATTAGAAGTCTTTACACAGTCCCCTAACTCCGATTTTCAACCTTTTTCATCTCATGGCACATACAAACTATTAAAATGCTGTGGCACACCAAAAAATATTTTTTTTTTTTGCTGATCTGACAATAAAAGTAGGCATAATTTTGATTCATTTACACCGGACAATGTTGGCTGTTGTCGTTCTTTTATTTGACACTCTAAGGCAGGGGTGGGGAAAGGCCAGCCAGTGAGGCGTATAAGACCCACAAATTCATCTGGTCTGGCCCTGCCAGGCATTAGGAGTGAGTTAATTAAATGTTTGACCAAATATAGCAGCCTAATTTTTAAGCTGATAATTTTGTAAGGTCAGAGAATGATGTTATAAATATCCAAGTGGCCCTCGGCAGAGAAAAGGTTCCCCACCCCTGCTCTAAGGGGAAAGAGGTTAGTGCCCCTGACTAAATAGTCAGGCATTGAATGTTTTTAAATGTTCTTGTGGCACACTGACTGAAAACTGCTGCTCTAACTCATCCTTTTCTATAGGTATTCCTGTGCCTTTGGTGTTAGGAGGTCTGTAAGAATTAGTTTCCATGGCCAGACGTAGCTGAGAAATTATCATCCCCCTCAGGGAACTTGAGAAATCCCAAGGTACATACAATTCTGTTAATTTTATTTGACCTAGTTTATTCCAGATTCTTTTGGACACAGAACCCTTTTCCTAGCAAAATAATTTTCCAGCCAATCCAACTTCATTGTGAGACAACTCCTTTGCATTTTAATTAAATAGATAATCTTTTAAAAACATTAGACAATAGAGAATATTTCACTGGGGTTTTTACACTGAAATGCAATTCACTCAGTTCACTCAATGTTTTAAGATAATTGATGTAAACCAACATCCATCACTAAAGTAGTAATTAAATAGTTTTATGATAAACATGACTGGAATATTAATATGTCATATTAATATAATAATTTGTACTGGTTAATTCATGCTCGATTTTCTTATGATATAAATTATTGAATAATGTACACTCTTAATTCTAAGTGCTTTTATTTATACAGTACATATGTTTCCATGTCATTTGAGAATTTTTAAAATAAACATTCAAATAGCTTGCTGTAAATTTTAGTATCATACAAAATCTGTTACATATATATATTATGAGATGCTTCGATTCAAATAACAGTGCAGTAATTCACCTGTGCCTAAAAAACTGACAAATAATTAAATGTCAGGTATTCCACTTCTATTTTCGGTGCCAGTTTACACATTTTAAGTTACATAAAAGGGAAATCAATACTATTAGAGTGTTAATTTGGTCCACTTTAAATGTAATCTTAAGGACTGTGCTCATTTGATCTATTTAAGCATGCATTCAGAAACAAAAAGTCATACAAATATCAAGTGATATGTTTATTTCCAGAAAAGACATTTACCCTGGAAGAGAGTAGAATTTATGAATGTAGTTTAAAGTCTGTGCAATTAAAAAAGTAACAAAAACATCAATTTGTGATTATTTCTTTAAATAAAATATACAAATCAAGTTCACTTGTAATCTTTGGGCATTACTAAACTGAACAAACAAAATAGATACTGTTTGTCAGAAATGTGCTTTTCTATCTCTTTTTATGTTTGACAACTTCATGGAAGATATGTATTCTATATGTAGCAGTTTTCTGGGAAATTAATAGCAATAAATTTGTGGAAAGTCTGGTAAATTAAATCTATTAAGTAAAAACTTTACAATGCAACCATGGGTGTTTTATTACCTTAAAATTTGTATTAAAAGATCACAAATTCTTTTGGTCTTAGTGCAGTCATGTACGCAGTAAATTAAGCACTTTGAAATAAATGTACAATGTTAAGGTATCTAAGAGTATGTCTTGACTTCATAATAATATTAGGTGATGCAAAAACATTTTGAACTGTTATAGTGATGAATGCAAAAAGGATCTTAAATGAATATTTTTCAGATATTTGTGGTCTAGAATAAGGTCATGATGTCACATATGTCCATATATTAAAATCATTTTGTAATTTAGAATACTGAGCACAAAATTTCCAGCAAAACACCGGAAAACATATGAAAAATTTCTGCCTGACTCACTATCAGCTCATTATTGAATACTGGGAAATCTTGTGCTTTTAATTATATCTTGCCATCTTTTTCTACTTATTTTAAAAAACATATTTTACTGGCATATAAAAGAAGAGCCTTATGTTACTTAACATTCCTTTTACCCAAGTTGCTTGGTAATGTGCAGCTTTGTATATTTGCGAGCATTCAAAACTCAGATGTGCTTCTATATATCTGAATAGATAGTAAGTAGACATTGGCAGCACTTCTACATAACTATGATGTGCGTAGAGTTAGGAAAGGAGGGGGGTCCTTGCCTATGTGCTACTTACTGTTTTAAGGTGCACCCCTTTTGCAATATCAGAGATGGCAGCAATTTGGAAAGTTTACAGGGAATGAGAAGAATTGGGTTTAGGTCATCATGTAACAGCTTGCCAGGAATGAGTCCCTTCTGATGACATTGTTGGGGAGGGGAAGGGAGTGTTCAACTTTTTCTATTAAGCATAATAATATAAATATGCACTTTACAGATGCATGCATACAGCCATTTGCATTTTAGATTACCATATTTAATCACATTTTATCGTGCTATGATTACTGAAATCTCAACGGATAACCTGAACAGTGCTAGTATGATTGTCCTAGAAACATACTAACTAAAGATCCATATTCTTTTGAAAATTATAGGCCATTTAAAAATGATTTTAGATTAATTGAACTTTTGGATGCATATTTCATTCCCAATGCTATCTAAATGTAGGACTCCCCAATTTGTTCTTATAACAAAAGACTTTAAGTTTTTAAACATTAAGCTTTTTCATACTTTGAATCTTATTTTATAATCACCTCACTTATCAATACAGCTTTCTTCTAAACTGTATTTGGTTTATTTTTTCACTTATCAAATAGGGAAATGTTCTCTTGGATTTTTAAACCTTAAAAATAAATGGTAGCGATTCTAAACCACTAAACAGACTAAACAATCCTTAGCTTAGAAAATTTCCACATCATGACCAACAAATTTTAGTTAAAAGTTTTACTTGAAGATAGTTGGATGTTTTTCTTAAATAACAGATTAATGATTCTGGATGGGGGAGAGGAGAATTAAGAATGTATGAAACTTAAGCAAATGAAAATAATATTCTCTGGATATTTTCTTCTTAATGCAAAAAACTGAATCAAACATACATTATAATAATTTTGTTTCACATGTAAGTTAATTTCTTTAGCCATCATAAATTTTAAGTAATCAAGTATTTTAGTAAATAACTATGTTATTCTTGATAACAGTAATAAAATGTTTTTGTTTCTTTAATTTTGATTTAATGCTTTTTACCACTCAATCCAACTTACTAGTGTCCTAGTGGAACTCAATAAAACTGTAGATGCACTGTTGCAATTATGTGATATCATGAAATACATCAGCACCACCATGCCCATACCTACTACTGTGCCTAGTGAAATGTTGGAAATAGTTGGCTTCTCTAATAAAAGTATCCTAACTAGCTATTGAGATTTACTTTCTTTTTCCCCAAAATAATTTGTTTTTACAAATTCTTGAATTTTCATGTATAAATAGATGAGAAATTATATGCTTCATTCTTAAATTATGTATATATGCTATATTTTCAATACAACTTGTACACTTTTAGTTACCAAAAGTTTGCAATCATTTTTACACAAAATTTACATTTTTCTATTTACAGATATTTGTAGAAGGTTATTGCAAAACTAGTTGTGCAAATAGATTACATTGTCGATACCACGTACCAATCTTTGAAGAAAATATTTGCTAAAAAATAAATATTTCTGCACAGAGTATTTGAAAAGCATCATGATTTCATGCTACCTTATGTGCATAAAGACTAAGAAATAGTATGTGTTTTGGTAGACTGTTTCATTATGTTTAAAGCATTCCAAGGAACTTACTACTGACCCAATGCAAGTGAGCTTCTTTATACCCGGTAACTGATATTTTCAAGAGATCATACATTATTTTTTGAAATCTATTCTTTAACTGGCAAACATTCTGTTACACATTTTCTATCAAAATTATAGAATGAAGATTTCAGCTAAAAAGAGGCAATATACCTTTAATTAAAACCAGTAGGTGCCTAGAAGATAAAAACCAGGAATCCCTCAATATTTTTATCTTACTTAATATTTGAAAAAAGGGTGTCTTGTCATTGTAAAGCTTTTGTAATTATGGGGACATTTTGATGAAGCTGTGGAGGAGTTCATTACAAGATTACTGATCCTTGAATTTTACTCCTAAGTAAAATAAGGATGATGGAATGGTGTGGAGTTTTCTTGTACAGTCAAACAATGTAACGTCAACATGAAAAAATATATAGTTTAAATGCTAACAGTTGTGATTATTTTCAGCTTAAACAAAACAGGAAGTACAAAGAATATAGGTTAAATATATAGCACTTTAAAATCATAGGTGCACCAAATAATTTTGTATTGCTTGAAATATAAATTATAACTAATGGAAATCACAGATGTCATGACTACAACACAGGAATTTAAGTTTTGACATTACTAGTAGCTTTTTAAGAATAACCATGTTAATATTGCCACTTTATATAAATAACAATATTTCATTGGGATCATATCTATAATAATTCTTGTTATTCCCATTTAAAAGTTTGATTATGATTGTAGAACAATTAAATTGGTCAGTTGATTGTATTCATTCTTAACATCTGCGTTCTTAACACTGTATTTATGTAGATGTTCTATTCGTCTATTCATAGTAATAACTTGTTAGTTTTATTTTTTATTTATATATTTTAGTAAGAGTGCAAAGAGAGGAAGGGGGAGAGCGAGAGAGAGAAGCATCAATGTGAGAAAGGAACATCCATCTATTGCCTCCCACACATGCCCGGACCTGGGATCGAACCCACAATCTGGGGATGTGGCCTGACTGGGAATTGAACCCACCACCTTTTGGTGCACAGGACAATGCTCCAAATAAGCCACACTGACAAGGCTAATTTGTTAGTTTTAAATAACTTCCTGTTAATAACCTCTTCCAACCCCCCACTTAATGGTTTATGTAAGTAAGCTTTGTGATCATTTCATGCTGTCAGTTATTAATAATTCATGTCTTCCTGTGAATTTTTTATGTTGCATATTCTTAAAACAAAGTGAATTTGTACCATAAAAGCAAGTATCTATTCTAAGTTGGGCACTGATCAATCACAATGTCTAATACTTTATAAAGCATTTTAAAAAATCATCCTTTTAGTTTTGAAATATTAATATTACTTCATTATAAGTTAAATAGAAACACATACAGACAAACAGCTTTGAATGAGAATACTTGAGAAGTGAGGGGGAGAGCTACTGCCTACCTAGAAAACAATTGCAATACAAATAAATGTAGAATTTTATGAATGTTGGACAAGGAAATATTTGACAAATATTAGGATGTTGTAGCAGAGGAAATGTCCCTAACACTGGCATTCTCCTGCTCTGAGCAAATGGATCTTTGTGAGTTGTGTGAGAATCTTTTCATAGATTTTTAAAAATTTTGTTCAGTTAATATTGGTTAATATCTTCCATAGATTTTTGTCATAGGGTGTAAATGCGATCAGTGTTGAGTAGGGGAAAGCAATGGAAGGTTTTCAGAAGACCTGCATGGTTCTACTGCACTTCCACCATAATACCACCATCTCCTTTACCATGGACAAGTCACATGATGATCTCCCAGTTTTATACTGCTTTATGGTTTACCAAGCACTTTCACATAATATATATGGTGTCCCCAAAATATATACACAACTTTAATAATTATTCCAATGTTCTTTTCAGACTTAACCCTTTGGGATGAATAATTTTTCAAGGTGGGTATATATTTTTGGGGGACACCTAATACCTCTCTTGAAGATATTTAGGACATTACCTCCATTTTTATAGTTTTGGATACTGGGGCCCATTGAGAGTTTATCTTGAGAGTAGGTGGAGAAGGTCACATTTGAATTCAGATTTGTCATATTGAATCTTGCCATTTGCATCATTTCACACTAGAGCCTGTCTAAAGCTGTATAATACAGCTGTGTAGTGAGGGAGCAGGCCTAGTTGCCTGAAAAAAAACAACAACAAAAAAACACCATTGTAACTTGAAAATTCTATTTTATGAGAAAAATAGAAAGTGTATTTTCTTTCAAAATTGTACTTTGAAAATGTCTTTTCAAACATCCATTTAGGAACTATATCCCATGAATGTAAAGAGGTGCTTCCACAGTGAGGGGCAGCCTTACAGAATCCATTCTGGTAGCAATGAATTCGACCGATGGCTTTTGTACCCTGGGCCTTTACTACCAATCCAGTGTAGTTGCATTTGTAACCATGAGAATCATACTCTATTATTGTAAATAATAAGTATTACTTTAAAGTTCTAACCTAATTAGTACAAAATACAATTAAGAGAGATGAAACAATATCTACATTTGTGTTTTTTCTGAATCAAAAACTTCAGTCTTGGTAACAGCTGTTTAGTTGGAGCCAGCATATTGTGCAAAAGCTAAATTAAAAATTATTTGTTTTTCTGACTGAAACGTCATGTTCCTGGATGAGAACCAAAGAATCTAACATTTTTTGAGCACCTACTATGCGCTGTAAACTTTACTATAGGGTATCTCATTTCCTCCGCAAGCTTCTCCAAGGCAGGTCCCATGATCTTATATTTAGAGATTTAGAGAAAAGACTTGGGGACATTGATTAACTTGCTAAGGGTCACACAGCTATGAATGAAAGAACTCACACTGACCCCCAAGACGGTCTGACTGCAGAGGCCATGCTCTCATTGTTCATTCTTAAAGTTTTCATGTGCATCCGGATTTTATGGGAAAGGCCTTCTTAAAAAGATTGCTGGGTCCCACCACCTGAGTGTCTAATTTAGTAGGTTTGGGTGGGGCCCAAGAATGTGTATGTCTCTAAATTCCCAGGTTGTTGGTACGAGTGCTGCTAATTTGAGGACCACACTTAATGTTATCTCATCTTGTCTTCCTGGTGACTCTTTGAACTCACCTGATAGACACATTTGTTTTACCGCAAAAAATGTAATTAGAAATCTAATAACATTTGAATTATTTAGTAATTTATAAATGTTTTTGTTTGAAATAAGAAGCCTGATTAAATATAGCTATCTAGTTTTGGTTTTAACCACAGATAAACAATGTAAAGACTACACTGTATTATAAAGTAGTCAATGTTGTAATTCATGTTTAGCAACTAGATCTGCTGCATTCCATTTCCTAACCATGGAAAGTGTTCAGGAGAAAAGATACTGTCAACAATTATTTTAGATATGCTGACGCAGTGATACATTTTCTTAGACAATATATGTTGGGATTTTAAAATAACATTTGGATAGAACGTATTTCTTTTAGGCATTTTGGAACCATTGCTAGAGATTAAATTCCAAAAGGACCTTGTAAGCAACTGTTATACATGCATATTAAACTAGACACCACATGCCCCTCTGCCCTGACTTGGTTTCTGTATCTCCTGATTTGGAGAATTGGAAAGGTCAGCTGTGATGACCAACCATTATAATGGACTTAAGAAACTATGTCCCAAATGTGCCTCTACCTTCCTATGCTTGTTGAATGAGTGATTATTAATTTTAAAACCCTGCAAGAATATTGCTTCAGCATTTTTCACTCTGGGTTTTCTTGTTAACTAATTAGAGCATGGGACTCCCCTGCAGGGTAAAATTGTAAGTCTAAGTTTTAACACTCTGCCCAGCAATTAATAACAGTAGGAAACATCTAACCCAAATAATGTTTAGATTTTAGATGGCATTTTATTTAGGCCTGGGGACCAGGTAGCAATATTTTTAGGTGGAAAGCAAAAGGTGTTGGGTGAGCGCTTTTAGTTACCAAAAGGGAGAGCAGTTGCTGTACTGCCCTTAGCATTGGTTGCAGCAGTTAAACCCTGCTTTCAGTAGGGTCCCAAGACGGAGGGGTCAGGCTGTTTTTGCTACATCCCATGAGGAAAGTGACAGTGATTTTAGGCATTAGGTCTTCGGCTGGGACAAAGGGATGAATGTTGTAAATTAAGATAATTGCATTGGTCATCTATAAGGCATTTTAACCATTGAGTCGTCTGACATTTATGACTGAGTAATGGCATCTTTATGTTGCTCGAGCTCTTCTTAAGCTAATGCCTTGTGGGAAGGGATCTTCCTAATCCTAATTCTCTGACTTAGACTTTAATACCAAGCAATTGATTTATATAAAGGCTGACGAAAAAAGGTTTGTGTCATGCTACCGTTTTAAAAAGTTGA